AGTACTTTCACAGTACCACTTGGCACTTCTCTACAGACTAGATACCTTTCCACAGATGTATCAGTTATGAAAGCAAACCTATTACATTATGGAAAATTCCTGTAGAGTTTGTTCTATATTGAACCAGTCAGTAGAACAGAAATTATTCCCAGATACATGGTTAGTAGTGAATGAGTTCCCTTGTGGATACCTGGGAGTTTTGAGGCTCTGTCCAGCTTCCCACCTATTCCTTCCTGCAAAATCTCTGGATGAAGCAGGCTGATGTGGGAGCTGGATCGTGTTCTTGCTGCTCTCTCTTGCTGCCAGATGCTCTGAGCTTAGTGCAGAGCAAAAGCTAATACTAAGCAGCTGCTGTCCCTGATAGACAGCTGATGGCTGTGTGCACCTTTGCCCTCCTGCTTTTCTTTCCCCAGAAAGCTGTTCAAATAGGTATGCTGCTCCATCCCCTGTGCAAGCAGCCAAGAAGCTGAAATGAGTCTGGATGCAGTCTAGAAATATCCTTGCAGCATAAGAACAAAGCACAAGATGTGCTTTGCAAGCTTCATGGTAACTGATGTGGAACATATTTCTTTGCACTGACTCCAGAAGGGACAATGGACCAAAGAACTTAAGATCAATTCAGTTTTTCCTGATCCACTCGTTCTACTGATGTTGGGAGCAGCCATTCTTGTACTCTAATCACTGTTGTGCCACTGGAGCAAGTTTCTGCTAAACTGTTGAAGTGATAAACCAGATCTGCATGCGCTTAGCCCAAGCAGATATCTCAGAAGGATGAATGCAGAGTTGGAAACTTCAGAACAAATACTTCAGGGTCTGTGGAAGTCTTGAAATTTCTCTTCCTTCTCCATCAGGATACATGTGTTCCCCAAAGACCATCTCTGCTCTTCATTGGTATTTCTGCATCAGAACCACTCCCTCCCCACCCCCTCCAAGATCTCAGGTGCAAATCAGCTCCTCATTAGGGTGAGCTCTCTTCTCTCTCCTTTCCCTGATGTCCTTGGAAGGATGACAGTAAATCAGAGTTTGCTTTGAAAATGCTTGATGAGTAAAAGGATGCTGAGTACGGTCAATTTTCCTCTCACCTTCTCTGCCACTAACTCAGATGTGACTTCTGGCACTGCTTTAAGCAGTTGTAGCAGGATGGCTGATGTGAGTGTGTGTTATCTACTAATGTTTTCTTGAACTCATTTTTTTTCCCCTTTTCCCAGACCGATTTGCTGTCACTTTTAGTAAGGCAAACATGCTTACTTTGCTTTCTGAATATAAATGTTCTTTATAATTACAGATTCAGAGATCTTGCTGCAGTGATTGTTTTAACACCAAGGGAGTTTTTGTATAGTTTCATTCTTGAGTATCCAGAGGCTGTGAGAAAAGTATTAATTTTACTGTTTCAATAAAAATAAATAAGATAAAGACAAAAAACATGTTAGCTTAGAACCATGGAAGCATTCTACTGGAAGATGTGTGATAACACACACAAATAAAATTTAAAATTTTGTTATTTAAAATTTTGTTCAAATATCAGAAGATACCTGTGACTTTCAGCCCTTAATTAAACTGTAGGTGTTTCTTTGTTTACCCTTTCTGTGTTTTACATTTATCAAGAATGAAAAGCCTGAAATGCTTCAGGATGATTGATTGTGCTTTGTGTCTGAAATGGCTCCAAGCCAGGGCTCTCAGAATTACAGTAAATCTGTGGTTTGCTATGAGTGAGCTTAGAGTACTTGCTGGGTCTGGAAATCATGTAGTGTAAGTAAGGTGATAGACTGTTCACGGTTTTAATTCTGCAAGGTTCAGAAAGCCTCCTGCAAAGTGGTTGCTTTTAGTGATTCTGGAGGACTTGAAAGAACGTAATGGTTTTGTTTTTGGTTTTGTTTTTTTTTTTTTCTAAAGGAAGATAGAAAAAAGTACATAATGCCTAATGAACATGTATTGTTTCCTGTGTTTCTAAGTATGGACAGCGTGTTGCTGCTCATTGCTGAGGAGGGGAGCTTAAAGTTCCAGTAATGCACCTTTTGCACTTTTCCAGATGGGAAGAGGATCCATTTTCTGTTTCACTTTTTAATGAATAGTGTGTAAAAGAAGCTCCATTTCTTTTGTTAGGCTGCAAGACTAAATGCATATGTCATAGGTAACTATTATTTATGCAAAGTCTCATGATGCAATTTCACTTAATTCAGTGGTACATTAAAATGGAAAAATATTTATTTGTGAGATTTAAAAAAAAAAAAAAAAAAAAAAGAGTAAGAGAATTTCAAAAGAGAATTTTTGTGAGGAATCCTCACTGCTGCTCTCCTTTGCTCTTCGTGCAAGGATGTTTCCTGGATCTGTATATTTGGACTTGGCTCACCCCTCCAAAGCCCAGCTTAGCCGCTGGCCCATGCAGAGGAGGGCTCAGCTATCTCTGCCGCACAGTCCTCCATGCAAGGATGCTTTTTTGAGCGACTTGGCGTGGAAGAGAAGATAGTTAAATGGGGAGAGTTGGAGGAGGGGTTTGGCAGCTAGGGAGAGAGATGCACCCCAGCTGCAACTAGCTGGGAGACTGTAAGAACAGCTTTCCTTTCTGCAGAAACAGCCCAGAGCTCAGCTTCTGTATTTACCTGTTTCTAAAGAGTAGTGCATGCAGTTTTGGAAACATCGCAGTAACTGTGAACACCAGTTTGTCATGCTCTGTAGTGTTTTGTTCATGTTTAGGAAAACCCAAGCCAAATCCAAGAGTACACTAGAGCAGGGAATCCTGTGCAGCATGTGAGGATCCATTGCTATGAAGCAGGAAAGAAAAACTAGGCAAAAGAGGGCTTGGTCTTCCTCCTAGTGTCTCCCCAGTTGAGTGATTATTCCTTATCTTTTTTTTTTTTTTTTTTTATTTTTTTTTGGTTCTTTTTATTTGGCATAAACGTATACATACACAAATCTCAGTCTTCCTTTTTTTTTTTTTTTTTTTTTTTTTTTTCCCCCCCCAAGCCTCTACAAGCTCATGTAAAGCCTAGCCTAAGTTGGTGTGTAAAATAATCAAGGATTCTCCATGTTCAAAACAATTTTTTTGGGGCAAGGGGAAATGGTTTCAAATTAAAAAAGGGAAAGTTTAGATTGGATATAAGGAGGAAGTTTTTTACAATAAGGGTGGTGAGGCACTGGCACAGGTTGCGCAGAGAGGTGGTGGGTATTTTGTTCCTGGAGACACTCAAGGTGAGGCTAAACCAAACTGAGCAAATGATGTAGCTGTAGGTGTTCCTGTTTGCCACAGGGGAGTTGGACTAGATGGCATTTACGGATACCTTCCAACTCAAATGATTCTATGAATTTATTAAACTGTGCAGCTCTATTTTAAAAGTTTTTAGATTTTATCTTTCATCATAATATCTGTGCTAAATGTTAATGTCTCTACAATCAGCTATATCCACTTAAACTTTCTAACTCCTAAGGAACCATGTTACAAAACAAGGCAGAGCTGTTTCAGGCTGCACTCTATATTTATGGGACAATGATGCCAGATGACAACAGAATTGCAAAGGAAGTGCCTAGTGCATAAAAAATTAATACCTACCAAGTCCTTCTTTTTATGGTGATGATTATAATTATTCGCTCTATGTTTGAACATAATACACTCAGGACAGCAGTTTACCGAATGTACTGGAGATTATTGAACAAAATGCAAGTTGCAGGTCATGTTCAGGTTTTCATTGGGCAAATAACTATCATTTTCTTCTCAATGAAAAATAAAATTGCAGTGTTAGAGGAGGTGTTCAGATTCATTGCATATAAATGGACAGTTTATATCTGCACTCGGAGGAACTTGGAGGTACATGGAGGAAAATAAGCAGAAGTCAACCGCTTACTCTGACAAGATCTGCTTGGGCTAAGCCCTGGGGTCTTGCTGAATGGTTGCAGACACAGTTCTGGAGCTTGGGGATTTAAATGTTTGGTGAAAGGTGCCATCAATCTAAAAAGCCCGAGGAAACATTTTCCTGGATGGTAGGCAAACATTGAAAAGTAGAATTTGGGCCCTGATAAATATTGAAATATTGAAAAACCATAAATGTTGATTTATTCTGCATTCCCGTTGTTAATTATTTATACTATATTTTTCTCAGTCTTTCCAAGAACTGGTAAAACTGAAAATGGGCATTTTATCATGAGAAAATGTCCATTATGACTCCGGGAGCTGTTTTTTAGTATTAGAAAACTGGCTAAACATCGCAGGAGATGGCAACGCTGCTGCCTCCCATACAGTCATTGAATGGCTACCTTCTGTAAATGCTCACCAATAAATGGAGAGCAATGGGTCATCACTCAGCAAAAGGAGAGAGGGAGTTTGCTGTCTGTCTCTACTCCTGGCTGACTCTGAATTCCTCCCAAAAGGCAATCAAACCTTTACATTTTATACTTGAAATAAAAACGTAATGACTTCTACCTTATAATATGTCTGTAATCATAGAATCATTGAATTGCTTGAGTTGGAAGGGACCTCAAAGGTCATCCAGTTGCAATCCCTCTGCCATTAGCAGGATTGCCAACCACCACATCAAGCACACAGTCTGCCCAGGGCCGCATCCAATTATTTACCTATTTTATTTCAAGTAACAAATCTGATGTAAACATTTATTTTTAATAATGAATCATACTTCTGGGCATACTTAACCCGAATTTGCACATCTGATATTTGCTGTACAATTCCTTATACCAAATAAAAATGCATGACTTAATTGTAACCTTAGTTATAAGTAAGAAGGCAGTTGAGCCTGAATTTGATGAAATCATTCTTCCTTATTTATAATTTCAGATTTTGCAAAAAGCAAGACCCATATAATTTATTTTAGCTACAATTATGAGATAGAATGATGTGTCTCTAGACATATCCTTTGCTATTTTTGAGTCTTTTTATTTAATCTTTTGCTGCAGCTCCTTGTCCAAATTCACATACAAATCCAGAAGGACAAACACTAGATCTGAAGAAGCATTCAGCAGAATTGGTGGTGGTTTGTACTGCAGCTTGACTAATTAGGCCAGCATTTCCTGTGGTTAGTGTGCAATTTATTTGAAAAGCGAGGTAAGTCTAAAGAGCGTCACTGTGTTTGTGTTGACTGTGAATTTCTTTCCTCTGATTTGAAAATTTCTGTTGCCTGTGTTACTCAGGAGATAATGTAAATGCATTGTAAGATGTTAATGAGGCTTCAGCCCATTTAGTTTTGAGGCTTTACATTTTTTCCCCTAGCTTCCTCTTAAACATCTGATAGTTCTTTGCTGTGGAAAAGGAGAGAGATGCAGCTCTGGTAACTAAAGGTTGGGTGCCCTGGACTGCATAACGTGACATGGTGATAGGACTGAGGAGAAAAGGGAAGGGTACTACTTTCTAAACGCCAAGAGCCACCTCACAAAAGATATATGTCTGAAATAACAATGGACTGCAGCCGCATGTTACTAGCCTCCCATTTGGTGGTGCTGGAAAAAAAAGCTCAGTCCTCTCAATGTTTAATGATGGCTGAACAAACTTGGAATGAGCTGAGGAAGATGAAAAGTCACAGAAGTTAATGCTCCCCAAATACAGCCAAGCTCAGTAGTCCTTAAAAGCAATTAAAGCACTTTTACCATCTGTTAAGTAATTACTATCCTCATTAGTTATTAGTAGTAGGAGATATGATGTAAAGGGCACAAACACAGTGTAAAAAGAACAATTAAATTCTTGTGGGTTTTTTTTAATAAGGTCATAAAACCTAAGATATTTGTATTGAAATAAAAAAGGCAAATCTTCATGGGGGTTTTATAGCTGTTCCACTTCAAAAACTAAGCTGTTACATTTTTCTTAACTCTTGAAAGTTTGGCTTGGTTCGTGTGGTTGTTACTAAAATGGTTCGAAGTCTATTTTAATAATCATATCCAAAACCCAATGTAAGATCAGGAAGATTTAGGGTTTCCAAATATAGTGAGTTATAGCTTGGCTGAAAGAAATTATAGGAAACACAATTTGAGGACCACAATTTGGAACAGATTAAAATCAAGTAACCAAAAGGCCCCTGAGCTGTGTGCCTTTTTAAGATGCGTGACTGTGCACCCAAACATATGCACACAGACATCTATATAAAGCATTATGTATTTCTAGTGTTTTTTCTTCTTCTTCTTAGTCAAGATAAATTCCCCAAAAGTATTTCTTTCAAGATAGTAGATGTGTATCTTTAAATTTAACTTGATACCTCTAAGGTTGCACGAGGATCCTTGTGTATGTTCTTTATTTTGCTATTTAGTCCTATTTCATGAAAAGAATGCATAGTGGCCAAAGTGGGTAAGTTTCCCTGCGAGTTCATTATACATATAAGAGCTATAGAAAGAGGGAAAACAGTTCTGGACCATTTTTAAGATGTACTCTCAATTGTATTTCACCAATTAATTTAAAGAAAGCAACAGCTAAACAAACAAACTTCCAAAATATGATGCGGTTTTCTTGTAAGGGAGTATAATTCTCAATAAATCAAGACAAGTCAGTGAGGTGCAGGTTATTTTGAATGTACTTAAATTTGCAACTTTAAAATTGTGCCTATTTCTTCCCAGGTTTCTTGTAAAAGAGGGCTTGCAGATGCATTATTGGGCTTCCCATAAAACTAAAGTTGTTTGCAATTATCCATGTTCTGCTGGGGATAGGAGACAAGTTTACCCATGCTGCAGTAGGATTAATGTCAGTGAAATACCATTTATTTGGAAAAGTAACTCGTCTTTTTTTCACAAGATCAGAAAGACCTGTAAGTAGAAAAGGATGAACTACAACTTTGTTGAGGCATGTAGACAAAAAGCCTGCCCTGATTGTGTAGGTCAGAACCACAGTGTGAGAATTTCCTGATATCAAAAGCAAAAAATACAAAGAGAGTAGCCTACCCTGGCCATGTATTTGCAGAAACAAAACAAATAAAAGGAACTGATTAACTTTCTTGAAAACAGGGAGAAAGCAGTGTCCATGTTTCCCAGTCTAACCTCATTTTATGGCTGCAACAACAAGATAATGTTGTGAACAGTGGTCAAATCTTGTAAATAATAAAAATAGAGGGTTAGCAAATTGCTTTGGGGAGGGACGGGTTGTTATCAAGATAATGAAACAGTAAGTAACAAAAAAGAAATATTAGGAGAGCAAAACTAGGGCCAAAGGGATGATAATGTATGTCTCAGAGGGTTGTATAATCTCAAGGGGCTTGAAGGAGAGGAACATGGCAGGGGGAAGAAGTCAATAAGAATAAGTAGAGAAGTTGTTATTGGTGCTGCCCCAAGGTTCCTTTCAAGCACTCCCATGCCCAATCCATGCAATTTTTTCCAACGTTATTAAGTCTGACATGTTTCCACTTTGTCAAGTCTTCCTGTCCAGGAGGGAGATGGTGTGTCTTCCCTAGCTACAAGTGGAATCTGAGGAGCTGCAGATGTAAAGGGTGGTTATGTCTATAAACAGGACAGGTTGTCTGTCTGTCTTTGTGCTCCTCTGAATGTATTGCCTTCTTCCTTTCCTGAGGTCTCTTCCAAAATCTACTGGAGAACACTTAATTATTTTGCGGCTTGAGGTATTTTTTCCTTGCATAGATTGGCATTACTTTTTTTTTTTTAATGTGCTTTTTATAAAATGTAACACACATTTTTAACAAAGAAAACCCCACTATTTTTATTTGACTTTGACAGCTATAAATCTAAACACTGGCGTAAAGGACAGAGATACTACATTTGCGTTGCCAAAATCTTACTCATAAGGTACCTTATCCCATTAATTTTTCCCTGTTTTTTTTTCTTGGGGATTATTGCAGCAGTTTAAGAATGTGATTTATTTCCTCTAAGGCATAGGCAAAGAATTCAGGAAGAATGAGAACTGCTTAAAACCAGTTTTAAGTGCTGAAATGTATTTTCTGAATTTATGTTGAAGACACTACACCTGATATGCTGAATGAGGAGAAAGAGAAATACAGGATTATTTTTACATCAGTTCTCTACTGTACTGAATATTTAAATTCACCACTGTCAATTGGTGCATAATAGCATACACTTTTTGTGGTGAACAACAATTTCTGGTAAATTGCATTTGCCTTTTTATTACAGTGAAAACAAAATATCAACTACTGAATTTAATTTTTCTGCACCATTTTCTATTTTAATCAAACTCTGTTCATGACTACTCCATCTCTGTTGCTTCAACACATAAAAGCAGATTAGGCTTGTCTGTGAAGGATAGTGTTTTTGAATAATCCAATGATAAAGAAACATAGAACAAAGGCAACATTTGCAAAAGCATGGCTGCTTCAAATGAACATTTCAAATTCAAATACCTAATGAAAAGCTAAACTATGCAGTCCTTGATACCTTTAAGATTGCCTATACAAGCAACTTCCTTCTGCAGAATATCTATGTCTATGTGGACAGCTTAATTTTTTCTGAGATATCTCATGTACCTGAAACATGTCTCCAACCCATAAATATTTTCTAAGTGACAAAGAGCTTCAGTCCCAGAGGCTGATTTATGAACGTTTAGAAGGAGCAGATCAGACCTTGAGATGGGAACCCAACTCTCATTATTCTAATATCCAGAAGGTTATAGAAGGGTGAAGCTGCAACCCTGACCTTATCTTTGAGCGGCCTGGGAGGAGGAGGAGCTATTCTGCCAGCTCTGAGCTGCTCACCCTGAAAACCACCCAAATTACCAATTCCACCTTCAAAGCTTTTCCAAAGGACTGCCGGTATTTTTCTGTATTTCTACATTTTGATTCAACACTCCTGACAGTCATTTTCTCAGAATGAAGCTTGAAACTATAACATTTATTTGCTTGTGATGCCTGTTTTCCATGGGCAGACACAGAGTCTCTGAAGACCCACAGTTCACTGTTCTTCTGAACCATCCTGACCTATAAATCTTTTGAGGGTGACCTGAGTACTTGGAAGTTCACTGTCTTCATAAATCTTCAGAGCACGTGTGGAAGCACATTGGGCTCTCCAATTTTGCTCTCTACTACCTCCTGAAGGGAGGTTGTGATGATGGAGGGTTCAGCCTCTTCTCACAGGCAAGAACAGGACCCAGGGAAATGGCCGTAAGTTGTACCACAGGAGGTTTAGGTTGGACATGAGGAAAAACTTTTTCTCTCAGAGAGTGGTCAGGCACTGGAATGGCTGCCCAGAGAGGTGGTGGAGTCGCCGTCCCTGGCAGTGTTCAAGAGGCATCTGGATAAGGAGCTGTGAGATATGGTTTAGTAGCTTGTGGTAGCAATGGTAATGAGAAGACGGTTGGACTAGATGATCTTATAGGTTATTTCCAACCTTGAGATTCAATGATTCTATGATATGTCTATGGTTGTGAGTTATCTTTATCAATGCAAATAAATTTTCCTCAGGACTGCTAACTTGAGGTATGTAATAAAGTTGAGAAGGTGGTATTGTGGGGATCTTTCATCCTGACTTCTCAGTAGAAGCATATCTCATTAGCAGTTGTTAATATAGATATACATACTAAAATATGGTATTTTACAATTGTTGGATTAACAGTGAAAAATCACTTCCTAGTAGATAGGTTTGCTAGAACATAAACTCTTAACGTGGTTGCAGTTTTAACTTGCCTGAAAATGGAGAGGGAACTCGAGAACTGCATCCAACCATCTAGTCATTGCCACACAGTCCATATTTGAGTAAAAGAGATCAAAGAAGTTTTTTGTCAAAGAAAGAAAAAAATATATTAATCAGCCTAAACATAAGACTACGGTGCACCAAAAATCATGTGTTCATAGCGGTAAGGCAGAGAGACTGGGCTTGGAGTTTTGATTATTTCTTTCTTTGAATGTTAGCTAGTTTGCTGAAAAGTGTAGATTCTAGATAAGGCCCAACAACTACATTTAAAGATTAATTCTGTTTCCTTTATATGACCAAACACTATAGGACTTCACACAAGTGTCAGTGTGAGGATTCATAGCAAGCACTGCAGGGAGATCTTTTTTCTTTTATTCTTCACTCCTATACAGAAAGAGAGCAAGTAACTCCAATCCTAGCTAAATATCCAAAATGCCATTACAGCTTTATAATCCTCTGAAGGTATTGCCTACTGTAATGCTGTACATTTTAAGTCCTTTTTTTTTTTTCCCCCCCAGGAAAACAGGTAAAGTTTTTGTCTGTTTGTTTGTTTGTTTGTTTTTTCCCTAGAAAAATGAAGATGGGTTACCTGAGCAATGGTTGAGGTAAAGGCTCTAATGAAGGCACCTCAATGGCATTTGAAAGTTGCCAAATAATTACTGGATGAGTGAATCTCTGAGCTGGTACCAGCAATGAATCCCTTGATACATTCTTAGTAAGTTTTAAGTTACAGCATCTTCAAAGCTGTGAGAAAAGGTGTGACAGTTAAAAAGTAAATATACAACTAAAATCTTTGAACAGGCTGAACTCTAAATGATTAATTTCAACCCCGCAAGATGTGAGAATTGTTGCTGAAATAATTCTGGGTGCTAATATTTCAAAATATATAAGCATACACACGTGTCATTATTTTTCAAGATACTAGATTTCACCTGAGAGAAAATTATTACCCCAAACTGATATTTTTGGAACTGCTTAGTGTCTAATCGACTAGTGACAGTAGTTAACAATGGCAAGCCTGATGCCTAGAAATAAAACAAATGTAAACACTCTTACTGTGGCAGGCAGTGCAGATGCCAGATGCAGGATGATGGGGTCTGCAGTGCATGGGGAAGAACCAAGCCCTGTCGTTGCACAGAGGAGGCTGCATGCTGCAGCTGGACAGTTTACTCACTGATAATTCTAATTGCTCCATGAGTGCCTTTATCCATTGCTTCCAGTCCTTACCAAGAACTGGGTGAGTCATTGGGTGTACACAGGGATCTAGTCATATTCTGCATTTTAAGCTAGAGAGACAACAGCCATTTTCTTTTTAAGTGTTGCTATGGGCCTCCTGCTGTAATAGATGTTTAGGTTTTTGTGTTCTGTGGAAGTACATTAAAAAAAAAAAAAGGGTACACTGGAAGGAAGCTTTTGGGTAAGGTGATGATGGATCCTGCGTATATCCACTCTTTGGACTTGTGGAAGAATGAGGGAGAGCTGTGGTGCTATTTGACAGCATAAGTTCAACACGGTCGCTGTTCACCAGAAACAACTAAGAGCAGTAGCTGACTCAGACTCAAGGGTTGTGACAAGCATAGTGAGAGAAGCGAGGTGCACAGGCATAGCTCTGGGCTCAGTACACATAGTTCTGAGTGACAGTTTACTGGATGATGAATTGGCTGTTGGGTTAGATGAGCTCAGTGGTCTTTTCCAACATTAATGATTCTATGATTCTAAGATGAGTTTGAGGAGTCACACTGTGTTTGCAAGGGAAGAGGTAGGGAAGAATGTTTCTGAAAATCATGATTCTGTCTGGAGCATAGGCCTTACGAGGAGCAGCTAAAGGAGCTGGGATTGTTCAGTCTGGAGAAAAGGAGGCTCAGAGGAGACCTTATTGCTCTCTATAACTACCTGAAGGGAGGTTGTAGTGAGCTGGGGGTCGGCCTTTTCTTTCGTGTAACTAGTGGTAGAACTAGAGGGAATGGCTTCAAGCTATGCCAGGAGAGATTTAGGCTGGATGTTAGGAAATACCACTTTTCTGAAAGAGTGGTCAAGCACTGGAAGGAGCTGCTCAGGGAGGTGGTGGATTCACTGACCCTACAGGTGTTCAAGGAATGTTTGGACTTTGTATTTTGGGACGTGGTTTAGTGAGTGCTGTTGGTGATAGGTGGATTGTTGGACTGGGTGATCTTGAAGGTCTTTTCCAACCTTGGTGATTCTGTGATTCTTCTGCAAATTGCACAAGATGGGATGCTCGTGGGAGAAAACAGAGAGGGACATAGGAGAAATACCAAGAGGAAATGGGAAGAACTATGGGGCTGGTGTGTACCAGTTTACACTATGTCTTCCTGTGCCTGGTGGTAGAAGGCCTTCATTGGCAGCCTTGGACCTGAGGAGCCCTCAGGTTCCTTCTGTGGCTGTCGGTGGCTTCACTGCTGTTGTATGTGAGGTCTATTGCCTGGAAAGGGGCTGATGGATGCTCCAGCAGCATGAACCAATGTGAAAATAGTCATAAAAAAAGTTTGTGTAACAAAAGTTTGTAGATGCCTATTGGCATCTACATCTCCTGCCCTGAACAAGCATTGCTTGCATGCTTCCCAACTGTTGTCACAGAGTGGACTGGTGGAGACATGGCGTACAGTATTTAATATCATGTCACTGAGTGCTCTGATGTCTGTGTTCCTGTGCTTGTTAATCCCTGCTCTTCAGCCTGTTGATTTAAATACCTTTTTGTGACATTTGGAGAATAATGGAGCATGCTGACCCAGAAAGTGCCTCTGAAAGGCTGTCAGATGTGATATGCATAATCGGAGCCCATTCATTCTTCCACATGAACCCTTGCTTGCATTGACATGGCTTCTGTAGCAAAAAATAGAGATAAATAGAAAAAGCTGCTCAAGGAGAAGACTCATTGTACATGTTACGACATCAATTTCAGTCAGGAGAGGGATTAATCCTGGCAGTGGTTCCCTAGTATTTGTTAAAGCAGATGATAGGCGGTGACAATGGCAGCTGCTTCTTTCAGTATTGCCACTGAGGAAATGTTGCCTGCAGTAGCAAAGCGTGTCACTTTGAAGGGGCCCCACTTGTGCTGCTCTCAGAGTGACTGAGAAACCTACAGATGCTGCGTTTCTCCAGGGCAACTCCTGAAAAGTGAGGTAATGAGGTGTTATGCTTATGAATGGTGTCACAGAAACGTTTAGTAACTGTTGGTATGATCATAGCTGTGAGTTAAAGACTGAATTGTGAGACTGAATTCCTGAAGGAGAATGCTTGAGATTAGGAGCTTAGGCCACATTAAAAGAGTTTAGGATGTCCAATGACATTAAGCTTCCTAAATGGTACTTCCATTTTAGTGGGATCAACAGCTTGATGTTCAGTGACATGCTGTATGTAGACCCTACATATAAGACAGAGGCTCAGGGTCCTAGGAAGCAAAATTCAGTGAAAGAGAGAGGAAAAATTGTTCAGAAAAGACCCTTCTCTCCAAGTATTTTCTCTCGTGTGTGTAAATCCCTTTCTTTATACTTCTTTTCAGAATCTGCAGAGAAAGAGGGAGGCTTCCCCCCTGCTTCACTGAATGTATTGCTTTAATACTGGTGTGTAGCTTAGCTAAGGCAAAAGAGAATTTTTGTCACCTTAATGGTACTCTAATCGTTGAACTACTTCACAAAAAAAAAAAAAAGCTATCCTTCTAAATCTGCTGTAGTTTACATAGAAGTACTAAACATGAGTGGGAGAGAATGAAAAAATTTGATTTGTCAAGCCTTGTGATGACTAGTGACTTTGTTAACTGTATATAAACTTGTGATTTTTTTTCTCACTCTTTTATCTAGTAACTGAAAAAGCTGCTTAAAAAACAAAAAAAATACTGAGCAAAAATGCTTCTTAAGTAAGCGTGACAGCTAATGCAGTAGAGTTGTGTTAGTTTTTTCTCATGTGTTGTCTTTTGTTTTGACTTTTGGCGTTCAGGGAACATTCTTGTTACAGCTTTGACTCTCCTGCATGGCAAACCCTGCAGCCCCTGAGCGATGTGAAGAGGCACTTTTGCCTACAAATCAAGTCTGTTTCACTTTCAAGGGTGCACAGATCTGCTCTGAAGTAAGTAGGGCTATTTTGTTCTCTCTTTGGATGGAATTGCGAGGGATTTCCCAGAGTATGCAGCCATGAGTACAGTACTCACTACTTAAAGATGAAGAGAAGCTATTGAAAGTGAAATAAAAATGTAACCAGACTCAGTTTTTAATGGAAATTGGCAGTGCGCCAATACATATTTTCACATTGCTCATTTCACAGACCAACTGAAAGAAAGTGAATAACAGTATTGATTCCTCTCACTGACATCTATACCTAAGTGCCTTGCTGAAACAAAAATGCTATGAAGAAAGTTAGGACTGAAAATTTAGAGGTTTAAAAAGGTACTTTTTTTCCCCAGCTTTATAGGTAACTATATCCTTAGTAACTGCAGAATGTGAAGTGTCTGTGTGGTGCACGGCTAGCAGGAGGAGAGCTAAAAGGCAGCAGACACAGGCTGTGTTGCTTCAGCTATTGTTATGGGGAGGGTATTCGGCTTGTCGGAACTGTTTGTATGTATATTGAATGCGGTTATTTGTGTTTCAGTGTTACTTAAAAGCTAAACAGCCCTTTTAGAAGAAGACTTTAGTAAAATCAACACGTGCATTCCACCCTTTTCTCCATAGGGAAGCAATTAGAAAAGCAAAGGAAGCAGTCCCAAACAGCAGTGTTTAACAGTTTTTTTGCCTAATAATGATGGTGACAACTTAATGTCTCTTTAGTCTTTACATTTCACTCCCTTGTGGTTTAAACATTAGCAACTTTGAATCTTCTATTTTGTAACACCTCATGAGAGTGTATTGTTATTTTTTCCTGTTCTGTAGTTGGGAAAAGATGCAGAAGATAATTTGTTTGCTTATTTATATCTTACGTATTCCCAGGAGCTGTATAAGAAACACAAACTTCCAGAAGTGCAAATCTACATTTTAAAGCTTTTCTTAACTGGATTTTTCCTACCCAATTTTCTGAGTGTTGGTAGGCAATCCAATGTGATTATTCTATACTTCCAAGGTAGCAGTTTTACAGTCAAAAGTTATGGATTTCGTTTGTTTAAACAAATTGTATTCTGTGTGGATATAGAAATGATGGGCTGAAATTCTGTGGCTCATGTTACGGAGGAACGCTGAAGAGCAGATCTTACCAGCTCACTGTTCTCTTAAGAAGTGTTTTTGATGATCTGTCACTCAGACTTCAGACTATCATTGTCAGGCTCCTACAGGATGAGAAATATACAAGTAGTAGTCTTGCAATTTAAAACAAAAAAAAATACAACTGTATTTTATTATCACATAAGTCATCTGAGGCAGAACATGAATCCTCTCAAGACTCTAGAGTAGATCTGGTGATCTTTCTCCAGTTTCCTTTCATATGTGCTACATAGCTTTTAGCTCTGCTGCATGTGAAACTGGGTCTTTATAGACAACTCCCTTCCACCTGACAGAAACTGCCCAGGTGGACTGTTCTAACACTCAATGAGATGGATAATACTGCAAAAATAATATATCATCATGTAGTCTGAGCAGCACGAACATTCGTAGTTATGATGTGTTCCAACTTCTGATAACGCAGCCTTAATAGCTTGTTTATACATCCTATGTGAAATTTGCTAAACATTAGAAGAGCAAACAGTAAAACTACTTCTACTGCCAGGTATATAGAATATCTGCAACAATGAAGTTTTGAGTCAGCTACATCCTTCTGTCCTTTCACTGACGTAAAAGAATAAAGGGCACTGCTAACTGGCCAATATCTGTAGTAATAAATGGGCATAGAAACACTGATGCTGAGTTTTTTGAGTACTGTTGTCAAAGGGCTCTGTGGATTTTGAGGCACTCCTCCAGTGTCAGATGTGAATGGACAGTGAGCTCAGTTTGCTGGTGAGTCTTTACCTCTTGGTACTCAAATACCACACTGTGCCCTAGAAACTGTCTCTGCTTCTAATTTTCTGTCTTTTTTCCCCTGGTCCTCAGTACTCTCAGTCCAAGATTCCAAACTTAAGGTTTCTTATCTTGTTTTACTTGAAAATGTAGCAATTATGCACTCCTAAAACATACTCACAAAGCATGTTGAGAGGAGGAGACCTGGTTTATTTTCTGGGCAGAGTACCAGGAGGAATATATCCACAAATTTAGCACACCTCTTTCAGCTCATGCAATTTTTTTTATGTGCAGAGCTACATTATTTCACCTTGCTAATACAAAAGAAATGCCTATTACATACATCTTCATGTGCAAGCATGATACTCTATCCCCCTTTTGGCTACTTTTCTCTGCCATCTGCACTTACATAGGGTTGTATGGGAGTTTTTTAGAACTCTTTCTGGTCATTTAGGTAGTGGTCCCCTTATTCATTTTGCCTTTATGTGGTCATGAGGATGTTGTTCACATTTTGCACAAATGATTTCTTGGTCTCAAGACCAAGAAAGAGAAAGTATATTCAGGGCTAGAAAAATTTCTGCCATCATGCAATATTTCTCTTCAGGGAACGCTAGCAATTATCCAAGCATCAGCTAATTAAATAATCTTACAATTATTAACCTAAGAATGTATATGTTCTTTCTCATTCTTGATATCAATCTCAGTCCCAGCCTATTTATCCGAAGTGACCTTAAAGTCACCTTAAAGTCACCTTGAAGTGACCAGAGCAATCTGACCTTATTGCTCTGATCCAGTGATCTGCTTGGTTTTTCTTTCTTAGTAAGTTCTTGCTGCCTCTAAGATATTCTCTAGAAAATCACTGTAAGTTGAAAGAGCCACTGAAATTTTAGTTGAGATTTTCACTTCAATTCTTACTGAATATCTTCATATGCTGTGGAATTACTATGCAACAATAACTGAACTTATCATCAAACTACCGTGGAGGTTACAGTGTCTGTAATATAATCACTTCACCATTGTCCTTTATCTCTGGTTCCCCAAAGGATTGTCATTATACAATGCCCCATTTTTTTTTCATTGCTTAACCAAGTTCAGTGCATTGTTCTGCAATACTGACTTCTAAACACGTGCTTTTGACTTCTGTATCTTGTTTCTTGAAGAGTCTGTCAACAGACTAGGTTTCAACAAAGTGTACTTCAGCAAGCACCTTTGGTTGTCAGAGTTAGTAAGATGTTCTAACCTGATAATTTCATTTCATCCCCTTTGTAAGAACAAATTTGTTTTTCAGACCTTTTTTCCCCTGGAGATCACAATGATGTAAATGAGAACAATACTTTGTGCATTTATGCATGTGCATGTCTCAGAGCCTACAGGCAGAATTTCCCATAAACATTTCATAGTTTCAAACAAAAACAGGTTTCACATTAAAAGCTGCTTTTTATGTTTGCAAGGAAGCACTGTCTGAGCACTGGATGTGCTCAGGCAAGAGCACTTCATTAGGTAATTCTTCTGTCAACTGTGCACTCTTGAAAGGTTCCTGTTTGACCTCAGAGAAGGATGTACACATCCTTCTCTGAAGGATGCCAGTGAAGCCAGTGAGCTCTTGCAGTCCCACGAGTTATCCTTTTGGACAGTATTAGAAATTACAATAACAAACACAGTATTTTTAAAGCTGCTTTTTGAGGTTAACAGCTAAAGGCCATTTGAAATCCCTGCTCCATTTTCCATTATATCACACTTAAAATTGAGTGGTATGGTATCTAGTCCCCATGGAGATATGTGCTAGTCATAACTCCATATCTTTAGCTGTTATTTAGAGGGAAAAGCACTATTTGGATAGCCAGTATAGATAATAAGCATAAACACCACAGAGTACAGAAATGATGTAACAGCAGTGATGGTCAGAATCATAACTCGAGTTCAGCAAGAACTATTACCTTGCTTTGAGTGTATTCAATTAGGTAGGTTAGGTGGCTCAGTCAGCATGCTTTGACTTGTTAAGAGAAGACTACAGCCAGTTCAATTTACAAACTGTAGCTCAAATTCTGAATTCCCTTGTAGCCTACACGAAAGCCCTATATCGTCTGCAGATATTATGACTTTATTTGCAGAATGGCACTTGAAAGTGACATTGCAGTTATTGTTTCTTATCTTCATGTCATCAGTTTTAAGATTTCATTCTGCCTGGAATGAAAGTGTTATTCTATCTAATGGAATCTATATTTTAGAAGTAAATAGCAGTACCTGAAGAGATCCTGGATGTCACTTTCAATGTTGTTTTCGGTCAATTCAGCACAACACAACATACAACCAATGTAAGCTTCTCTCACCCAGATGCGTGTGCTAGGTAGCCTATGTTAATGGTTTATAGCAAATAATGGTAAGTTTTCAAAAGAGGAAAAACAAAAGTAAATTGTATAATTGTAAAGAAGAGAATTTTTCTACTGCCTAGAAATTGGAAATAGTGCAGCAGTCAGAAACGTAGTGGAAGCTTTTATCTCTATACACTGATGGCATCTTAGACCAATTTAAAATGCCAATGATTTGGCTTTGGTCTCTTTAAAAGATGGCTGAAGACTAATGAAAAACAAACCCCTATGACATTTTAAAACTGGAGGTATATTCAGCCAGCTGCAAAGTACATCCACAGTTTTCATGTTTACAGTGATAATCTTCAACACACACACATAAGAACATACAATTGAACTTCATGTTTCTTGTTTTAATATGTAGGAGTTGTTCTTCAACATGCAAGATTGCACGCTTTATTCCTAATCCATACCTGAAAAACTCTTTATCATTCTTCCTGCTATTGTGACCTGCTATTATTTAGAAGTAGTAAGAATACAGTAGCCCAGCCTGTTTTATATGAACAAAGACTATGCTTTTTAAGCTAAACTGTGTGAGTGTGTTTAAAAAATAAGTCTTTTTTAAAAAAATAATGTTCTTGAAAATTCTAGGTTATGTATTTGCTACAAGAAGCAATAGTGGCTATGTGTTTGATATTTTTTATTTTTTTAATAATAAAATAGCAAAATTCCCTATAGATAATAGTCCTGGAAGTACTACAAAGCATCTGGCTTCCTTCTGTTGATTGCACCATTGAGCGAAATATCTAGTTCAGTGCTCTGCCTGTCTTCCAAGTATAGTCAAAACACCAGTATTTCTTGGAAGACACTTGTTAAAAGTTTTCTTTGTTACTTTACGCCAATTCTTGTGTAGATATTACTTCTCCAGATAGAAGTGAAATTGTTCAGATTTGAACCAAGTAAAATTGTCAGGTTGAGGATAGAACAAAACATTACATTGTAACTATATGTCTAGGATGATTTTTTTTCTTTCTTATCTTTTATAGAACAATCTCTGTACTAGAAGACCCATTTTTCTAACATGCAGTATTTATTTTACCGAGTTCAACCAGCAGTTCTCTGTGGCTTAACCAGGCAAGTACCTTATGTTTATGCGCAATATAATACACCCAGTAAAACTAAGATCTTGATTACTGCCTGCATTTCAACAGCTTTATGCCTGTGTAGCTTATGGAAAAACTGTTGCACCAAATAGAAATTGCATTGTGTGTAATGTAAAGAATGGGCTGGGCAAAATAGCCAAATTTTTTTTTTTAATTTGTAAGTAGTTACTATAGGAAGTCATCATGAATGATTTGCCATCTAAAAAAGAAAAATGTATTCTGACATATAAAATATGTATAGTGAGATTAAGTTGAATGTGTATATGGCTGCTTGATGGCTACAGTTTGCCAAGATTTTTATTTTTGTATAGCTTGCATGTTATGGGTGTCTGCGTGTTTATTTTTTATCATTTAGTATTTATTTATTTATTTATTTATTTTAAAGATCAGGAAGATAAACTTATCTGGAAACTGATACACCATTCCATCTCATCCATCCAGACTCTTTAAAAATTATTTTTGTAAAGCTCTGATGGGCCTCTCTCAGGTGTCTGTCACAGACATTTTCTCAGACATCAAGTTTCTAATTCAAAATTTAAAGAGCTATTTAGGGGAAAACAAAAATTTAAGTATATTTTTTCCTTATTACATTTATGAATTTTGTTCTTGTGTCTTTCTGCCTTCACACCTTTTTGCAAAGGTGTGTCATTGAATTTCTCCATGTGGAAAAAAAAGTGGACCCACTGACATTCATTGTAACTTGCTGAATGTTTCTGGAGGCCAAACAATGGATGTAAAGTGGTGTGTTTCAACAGTGGCAACAGAAACAGCGGGGCTCCTACACTGGTGCAGATTTTTAGGAGCACAGCATAAAAGCTCTTGTTCACTGTTGATAAAAATGCATAAGTAATGCTGGTAAAAATCTTGAAAAAATGCATTGTATAGCTGAGAATTTGCTCTATCAGGCTTTTTTTGTGCTTTTTGTATGTATTGCAGTTTCCATGGAAAGAAATCAAAGGCATTACTTTCAGAGCAACCTATGTACTGGTGAGGTAGGGAAGGTTTCTGAGATAAGCCTTTAAATTTTCTGCTTCTAAGATTTATGAGTTCTTCTGTAATGCACCCTGCTGTGTCCTTTGTTACAATCTGTATCTTCAGCAGGTGGTTAATGGTGACCCACCCACATGATCGTTAATTATACTTTTTTACTGCATTAGATGAAGTGCATGAAAATTCACATACTAAATTGTAGTTGACTCTGACCTAGTTAACAAGTGCCAGAGATGTCTTGCTTAATCTGTTTTTGAGAAGTTCGCCTGACTTTTTATAAAAAGATTCTGTAATTTTGTTGTTTGTTGCTGTTTGGTTTCTAATTCATCTGTGGCAATTGAATCTTCTAAAATCTTATGAAAGATACTCAATGAATTACCAATTCTCTGGAACTGTGTTGCCTTCTGATTCAATCACACAGAATAATATGACCCATTGCTCTTATTTGTGTCAATTTTATTGCACAGTATTATGTCATGAACATGGTTTGTGGTTGAAAAGGGAATTGTATTGCTATGCTACGGTAGTGGGGAAAAAATTAAGAGATAAATCATGAACATCCCTTGCTATGGTCTAATAGCCATCCTAATAGTCTTGTTCTATATTTACATGTAAAAGCTAATTTAAGAGGCAATATTTTCTGAAAAAAAAATATTTTCTACATCAGGATGTTGTTATAACTTGCATAATCTGCAAATTATATAAGTTGGTTGTCTACCATATATCTAGTCAATTCAGTGCAATTAGTAAGAGCCTTGACTGGGGAACATAAGTAGCCATTGTTTTTAGTGTTCGGGTAGCCTTTTGTACCTCATAAAATAGTATTTTTCCATTAAGTGAGTTTTCCACCTTTTTTTGCAGTGGTGGGCATTACTGTTTAAGGGCTTTTCACCAAAATGTTTTTGAATAAAAGAGAGATTAAAAAAAAAAACAACACTTTAAATTAGAACAACTCCCCTAGAAGTATGGTTTAAGAGGAGGAACAGAATTATTGTTGATATGAACCCTACAACTCTGCTTTGGAAAGGCATTGAATGTCTGTCCATCCAATTAAGGAGTCCTGGAAAGTTTTATTGCTCCAGTTCCAGTGTGTTTGAAAAAAGAACTAAAGAGACAAATTACTTCTGTGTGAAATCTTCTTTCAAGGGAAGAAACTGCAAATTACAGTCCCTATTAATACTAGTAATTCAAATCCAATCAGAGAAAAGTAAGAACAAACATTTCCTTTATATCCTGTAATCTATACTGGGGCTAGAAAACAGGAATTATCTTACATGTGTTTGTCATTTATTTTCATTTTCTTGTTTGTTTACAGAAGATTATGAAACTAGGGAAGAATCTCAGAAAAGTGGGAAACTCAATTGTCACCTTGACTACTGATGCAGAAGAAACTGTGAAGTTCAGGCTGAAAAATGGGTGGAGTGTCCAGGATGGGTGCCTTTAGAACAGGTAGTCTGTTACCTCGCCAGATCTTTAGGTGGTAGTTCTCCAATGCGGGTACAGCTTTACCTCCTGACAGCTAATGATTCTGGATGTTCAGTGTCACGTTGGCCAGTATGTTCAGTTTGTCACATAAGTGTACACCTTCTCTTTGTTTAAATCATTTATTATGCCAGCTGATGGTAAAAGTGAGGTAAATTGAATATGGTGTTGCATAGTTTACTCATTTCCACAGTCAAAACATTTGTGAGCAACTATCTTGTCTGCTTTCATTTAAGCTCTGATTATACTTCAGAAGTTAGAAAAAATTTGAGGAAGGTACAATTTCTAGTATGTTTATCCTAAACTTGGAACTTGAATATAAGTATAAATTGTGGTAGTTTTATTCATGTTGAGTAGTATCTTGCTCTAAGCTGCAAGATGCTACCTAATGCAAGCAATAGCTTGATATTCTGCTTCACTACTGATTTTGTGTTAAGTTTGAAAGTTATATGAAGAAAAGCTACATACTGATCCCACAACTACTGAAACAGTTAATTACCTTGAAATACACAATACACTCATTCTTCTTTATTCTGAGTAGTACATATATGTGTGTGTATATATATACACTAGGCAGCACTTATTGTTAGCTTATGATTTGTTAATTTTGTGCTTTATTTTATATACCATTTTTACTGACTGCTCAAAGTAAACAGTGGAGACATTTTGCATACTTCCCTCCCAAGACTTTAATTTTAATTTATCATTTTTTACTTTATTACCAGTCAGTGTGGTATCATATGCATAGCAAGCTGTAACTCTGATGAGCTATGTCAAAGCCTCACAGTGCTAGATCCTATCTTTATGACATTATTGGAACTAATGCACTCCAGAAATAATCGTGAGGAGTTAAAAATGCTATCCAGGAAGACACTGTGACATGCAGCTATCTAAAGAAATTTATCTTCAGTAATAAAAAGAGTAAAAGCATTTACTAAATTTGATGAAAACTGGAATCTGACAATCTCTTTTTATTTAATAAAATTATGTATATTATGTATATCGATAACAAAGCTTTGACAAGCACCTCAGATGTTTTAAACAGAATCATTATACGCATATCTGATTCTGTTAGTGTTAAGAGGCTAAGCTGATTTATTAGTACAGTATTGCCTTATGCTTGGATTATTCTTTGGACATATTTCTGGAGGGTTTAGTTTCACAGTCTCTTGGACATCGTATTTTGTTGACTAGCCATCATCTTAACTTGGCCAAGAGCTATCAGATGAGCTTGCTGCCCAAGCTCCATAAAGTACATCTGTTCTCAATAGTTGACAACACAGTAATCCTCCTCTAAAACTCCTTATTGGGGCAGGCTATATCCTCACTTGCCCTGCAAATTCATCCTTTAATTAGTTAGTTCTGCAGATTCATTGCCTGCCTTGTACATTGTTTCAGTAAAACTTCCAGTACTGCAGAATATAAGATGTAATTAGAGAGAAAGAAGGGATGTCACAAATGGCAAAAAGACAAGATTATGGAAATCGGACTATTTAGCAGCACTGAGAAAAAGATCCATCTCAGATAGCATAACCCATAGCTATTGTCTTGTTTTCCCCATGAAAGTCAAGGCATTTGAATTTCAACTGTTTCTATTTTCTGTATGATTGTACTGTCCTAGAGCTCACTTTGTTAATGAGGACATCAGGTGAAATTGCAGAGATGCAGTCACATTTTCTTTTTTTCTATTATGATATGATTTTGAATAAGGAAAAGAAGATGTGGTTACAGATAACCACACCTTCATTATACGTATCTTGTCTGTAAACCAAATTTCAGCAAATAAGAATCAGATGAGGGAAAAGGAAAGTAACTGCTAGCAAGAGAGTGGTAGTGGATGTGTTGGGCTTATTTATTCAACCTAACAGAGATTACTTCCTTTTAAGAGTGTGTGAAAAAATCTAAATTAACATTGTAGAATGGCAGCAGAGAATTTTGACTGCCTTCCCATAAAGCCACTACTGTGAGTGCTCTGGGGATTAGATTAATTGTTTTACTAAAGTAACTTCACCAGCCTCACATTTCTAATCATTTTATGTAAGTTTGTCTTTTATCTAAGGTGTTTGCACTGTCTCTTTCTACTTTTATTAATGATTTCTCAGAGTGTATGATGGTTGAAAAGCAACCTGACACAGTGGCTGCATAAATTTGGAGAATACGTTTTGAAATCTGTAGTACAGTCCATGTACTATTGGGTGTATAAATGAATTTTGTGTATCATAACACTCCTAGAAAAACAAGAGAACAAAGAAGATGGGATTGCTAAGGGAGACATTAGATTTCATTTCACACTGATAATAGTTTAGTGATAGTGCTGAGCAAAATGGGATTCAATTCTGTAGCACTCCTTTATTGCAGCTAAGTGATTTCAATATCCAGTCTAAAGTGATACTGATAGTGTTCGATAGAAGGGGGATGAAATCTGAGAGCCCTGAAGGCTCAGAGGAGGCCACAAATCTCAGGCTGACTCAACGGATCTTTTCAGAGCCATCCCACCTGA